GCAGAATACATGTTACAATATTACTCAGTATTTTTATTATCAATAGAAAATAATATATCTTCTCCTTCTAGCACTATGTGAAAATAGGGTGCCCAAGAATTGCTAGTCTTACAGATATACATGTTTGTGCTTCTTATTTCCGGGAAGAGGACTGGAAGAGAGAGTAAAAGAAAAAACATTCTTCATAGGCAAGGCATTCAGATTGGAGACTAGGTTTTTCAGTCTGGGCCAGATTAGGGACAGGTATCCTCTTCACGATGCAAAAGAACAGCAGTTATGTCCTTAAATTCTCATTTAGCATTGCTATTGAATCATGCTGAGTATTTTCCAAATTTCATTCTAGTGAGAGTAATAGTGAAACTTTACCTCTTAGAGGTTTTGAGAGCCACACAATTTATAATAGAAAAGATAAAGCTCCTGAAAGCACAAGTCAGGGACAAGATGCACAGCATTGTTGTTATAAAGGGCTAAAGCAGGCTTTTTCTGGGTGGTTTTATGCCTGACATGAATACCATTAAGACAGTTAATTCGCCAAGCTTCTTTGTATATTGTACCTCTTCTGAGAAAGTTTTGTAATCCAGGAAAATGTCTGCAGGTGAAGACTTGGAGTGAATAAAGATTCAGTGAATTGAATTTTCCATTTATGTGTTGAGCACCTAAGAATGTTGCAAAATTTGCATGCAACTTATAATGTTGCAGTAAAACATTCTCACTGTATGGAAATTTCCACCTCACTTCAGGGGTAAGCTCAGTTGGATGAGGGCCAGATGGATTTGTTTATGGTAGTGGTGACATAATAGAAGGAAATGAACGAAGCACCTTCTTGGGTTGAGTTTAACCAGAGTCACCAGAGTCTAGTTTGGGAACTACAGGCAGAAAAGCAGACTATTTCTTTAGAAGAAGTCGGTGGTGAATTAAAACTATTGCTTCATTTATAGAAGAAAGAAAGGCCAAGAGACTGTGGCTGGAAGATAAAAGGGGCCAGCTTTCACCAGAAGAAAGCAAATACCCACAGTTCTGTGCACTTACTTCTTTCGTGACTAAGCCAGAGTATATTTTGAGGCTCCAGAATGGAGAAATAACGGTGTCTTTAATAGATGCACGAGGAAAAAGGCAGTCTTTTCTATAGATCATTGACATTTTCTTTATTAGAAGCTCATGGCTCTGGGTATCTGACTCGGTCCTAATGCCCTCCCATTATGTGGTTATTGGAAAATCCTTTGTGCGTATTAGCACTTGTAATATTTGTTCTTAGAGACATTTAGCTATCCTCATTCATCAGATAGCCTAGCACCTTGTTAATGGACTTCCAGGAAAAAAACAAAAAACAAAAAACAAAAAACAGAAATTTCTTTAATCGTTACAGGCTTCATTTTCACCCTTGGAAGCAGAAATTGAGACTTTAGCCAGGCCATTTCTGTGGTCCATAAGATGGCTTCTGTCTCACATAGGTCAGAGCACTGATTTTTAATCCCTAGAGCCCTTTTTAATCAGTAGAGCTCTTCAAGTTTTTGTGCTCAAAATTGCCATTTCTTAGCATGTACTTGTCAAGGAAAATGGATTCTTATACTTTTAGATGGCTCCTTTGTACAATTAGATCCATGGACTAAAAATGCAGAATGATAATTTTAAGAGACTGATTTTTCACAGGAACCCCAAATGGTGAACTGCAATTTTGCTAGTTTCCTTGAAAAAATTCTCAGTTTAAATTGTTTATTTTTTTATGTGATTTTCAAAAGACATTGATTTCCAAGTTTGTTTCTAGCACTGAAATTCTGTGATCATAGTTTAAGGAAATATTAATCTTTCAAAATTGGGGAGAGGGCAGTGGATTTAAGAGGTAGGTTTTTATGAAGATGAATAAGCAAAATTAATCAATATTCGGTATGCTGACAATCATGAAAACATATATGTTTTAAATGCATATTTTGCTTAAATTCTAAGCAGATTCACACTCAGAATAGTAAACAAAGTGTTCACATGTGAAAAAATATTTAGCCCTGTTGATGTAAGTTATACCAGGTGGAGTATAATGTTCAGAGGACTGAGTGATCTGCACAGGCAAGTAAGTTCAGAAGCACAACATTTTAGCCAGGCACCACAGTAATTTTTCCTTATGACCTATCCAGTGGCTCATAATTAATTTCTTCCAAGGCTTCCTTGTCATTTGACCAAACTTGGCAGGTTCCCTTTCATTTCTTATAATTTCCTCCTCACTTATGCCTTTTAAGTAAGTGTTTCTTGAAAATGCGGCTGAAGCACAAGATAGAAGCAGCATTCACAATATCCAAAGTTCCTTGTTATTATCCTTTTGTCCCCAAGCTTGCCTTTCCAGAGAACTTAGCAGGTACTTTCTTCTTGAACTATACCATTTAGCATCTCTCTCCTTCTCTATTCTCCCTTCCTTTCCTGTCCTTAATGTCTTGCTTCCTATTCAGTGTAATTTATCTATTGTTTAGATCCAAATGATCCATCTGAGATACTTGCTTTGATTTTAGCCCACGTAGCAACAAACATGGTTCTGAGAAAACTTTGTTTCCCAGGTGGTTTCCTATGAATTAAATTGCACGGAGTATAAATGAGTGTAAACTCCCTAATTTACATTTGCCAGTAAGTATTTACTGTCAGACACTGTGAAAGATATAAAGATATAAGGCTCAACTCTAGCCCCCAAAGAGATTAAATATGCATGAGGCATCAATTCAAGTTACATATGTATGAAACGTATAATACCACCAAATAATACAGACCATCTGTGATGCCCTGTTAAGTACCCACAGTCCATGAGGACAGACATTTTTGTTTTTCTCTTTGTTCACCCATATATCCCAAGTGCCTACACCAGTCCCTGGCATACAGTAAATGCTCAATAGATGTGTGAAATGAAGTACAGTCTACTTTTCTAAGCATAGAATTAAGTACAGTCTGCTCTGTTACCAGCGTGTTTCTGTAATGAGAACATGTAACACAGATGAACTCATCCGTGATTGATATGTAGGAAAGGGATATTAGTAAAATGAAGTGGTTGTGTTGGTTCACATGCAGTTGTTCTCAGCACCTCAAATTCTACACCACCAAGTAACAGCAGCTGCAAGCAAAACACAACAGAACGTAAGCTGTGGAGAACACACAGTGCTGTGCTATGCCTGATGCCCAGTCACCCTATGTTCTTTATCTTGGATTGGTTTGGCCATGAGCTCTAACTTTATCTTGGATTGGTTTGGCCATGAGCTCAGTAAGGAAGGGCTTACTGGAAGGGGAGAATTCACTTCTTATTTGTACATTTTGTACTTATATTCCTAACGCAGCAGCCTCAAACAATTCTACTTCTAATCTCTTCATCAGTTACCTTTACTTTTTTATAAAAGTAAAGTTCTATATTTATATTTACTGTAATATTAATTAGGAATTAACATGGCTCATAAACTCTGCTGGTATGTTTTTTGGAATGGTTGCTGTTTCTGTTAGTGCTCTGGTTGCAATGTTACATAGATTTTGAGTTGTTGGTTCCTAACCCTATTTTTTTCCCATAAGCCTGTTATTTCTAGTGTATGATTTCAAAAATGGGAAGAGCACACACATCCTTTTATAGAAGAAATGTACTACAGACTTCATTTTCAATAAAGATAAGCAGGATTTGGCTGTGGGAGAAAATGGAAGAGAACATTCTCGTTCTGGCAAGAGCATCAACAACTCCCACATGAATACAGTATGGAACGTTCTGGAGGGAGAGGAGGATACTGGGTTGGCCAGAGCGCTAGGCTCCAGGGAACCAACAAGTGGATGGTTTTGAATAGAAAAGTTTTTCAGTAATTCAGAATTTTCTGTGTCAGAGTACCCCGGACTGCTTCTAGAACAGAAAGTGGCCTGCTGCCTGAGCCGTGTTCTGGAACTATGTGCAGATGGGTGCCAGAGCGGGAAACCAAGGAGGAGGCCAATGAAGCTATGAAGTCTCTGAACACTGAGAATCAGTAAGGTGGTTGTGAAAAGGCCGGGCAACTGGAAAGACCTTAAAAATGAAGAATCAATGGGTGCAGCTTTTGCAATGGAGGAGAGAGGTTTCAAATTGACTGCTGGGATATGAGCTCAGGCGACTGGATGGATAAAGGTGTCCATATAGGTTGAGAAGTTGGGGACAAGAGCAAATTAGACAGGAAGAAAACACAAGAAGGGGTTGCTTGGCTAAATGCTGGACAGCCATTTAAATCACAAGGCATATTGTCACGTTGATTCATGGCCATTTTATTCTGTGATCTTTGCTCCCATCGTGGGAGTGGTAGTGGGACGTTAGTGAGTGCCCTCTCAGGGCAAGGATGCCTTTCAGACCGTCCGCTAAAGCGCCTTCGAAATTCATCCCGACAGTATTTTAAATGCAGAGGAAGATGTTTCAGTACCCCAAGCAATCTATTTACGAATATTCTTTGTGACTGTTTGCATTGAGTTTCTTCACCCAGAGACTCACGGAGCACGGATGCCCGGAGCCTCCTCTCTGGTAGAGGAAGGTGAGGATGGGGCAGCAGGCAGCCCCAGCCCACTCTCCCGCTTTGGATTCCCCGGGACCACCCGACGGACGTTCTTCCCCTGGGGCCCTGGCCTGGGGAAGTGCCCCGGGCGCTCCGCGGCCCGCTCTCGGCCGGAGTCCAGCCTCTCACCCTGACTCCGACTTCGCCGCTGCCCGCCTCCCGGGGTGGGCTGTGCACGATCTCGGCGCTCCTGAGACGATTTTTCGAAACTGTCCCCGGAGGTTCCCCGGCGCGGCTCTGGGGACCCTCGAGGACTCTGGGAGGCGCCGTCGCCGCCGGGCGGTCGCAGTGACCCACTGCCAGGCTCCCGGGCCTCCGCCCCTCCTCCCGGGGATCCCCTTTCCCCTACACCCTCCCGGGCCCCGCAGGACACTCCCCTCCGGAGGCCGGGCCTCGTCTGCCCCCCGCCCGCGCCCCGCCCCGCGCCGGGAGAGCCCGGGGCCCCGACCCCTCCCCCCGGAGGCCAGGCCCCAGAGCCGGACGCAGGCGGCGATGGTGACTGGGCAGCGGCGCGGGGCCGGGTCTTGGGCGGGGAGGCTCGGCGGCCTCTTTCTTTCTCTGCCCCCGCCCCTCTTTCTCCTCCCTCCGTACTAGCCCCTCGGCGGCCCAGGTCGGCGCTTTCGCCTCGCCTGCTCCTCCTCCCCCACCTGTGGACCCACTCCCTTCCCTTCCCTCGCCCCCTCCTCTCCTCACTCCTCCCTCCTCCTCCTCCCCGGAGCTGCCCGCGGACCCGAGAGAGGTGGCTGCGAGGAGGCGTAACGGGAAGCCCCGGCTTGGGGAAGGCTGCGGGCTCGGAGACGCCGAGCCGGGGCGGGTGAGTTGGAGCCGCGGGACCCCGCGCGCGCTGCGGGAGGAGCCTGCAGC